CAACTCATTCCTTCCACTTGAAAATGCCCTGGGGTCATTCTTGAATATTCCCCTTGGTACTTGTGGCAGTTACATAATCTGTTGTCAGTTTGAGACTTAAGAGTGAAGGGGTGGAGTTTAGCCTGCCAAGCAGGCCGCAGCTTGATGCCCTCATTTGGAGGTGCTCAGGCAATAAATAGCTCACTGGCGGCAGGACACACACTCCCTCCCTCCCTGTGGGCCATGCTTACTGAAAAGACAGATGGAACTACACTAGAGCCCTGGAGCTGGAGGAGTCACAGGGAGAGCCCTGCCAGCGCTGAGATGCCTCGACCGCCACTGCATCCATGAGACTTTCCACCCACTGGCCTGTGATCTTCCTGCATTCGGCGTCATTGCATGTGTTTCGTGAGTCTGAAGAGGACTTTATAGATTGCTACCGGACATGTGGGCTAATATTGGACTTCTGGGCTTGATCTGGACTGGGATGAGATGTTTTCTTAATGTACAACTGCTCTTTGATATGAAACTCTCTCTGACACACGTGTTTATAAATTTGTTTCTCTAGTCTACCCTAACACAGCACTCCTCATTCATTCTTTCAAAACTCCTGTTGGCACTACTTTTAAAATATACCCGGATTCTGAGACGTTCTCATCCTTCTAATGCTGCCATCTAGTTCAAGACTCTGTGGTTTCTGCCTGGGTCATTACAAGCGGCCCCTGACTGGTCTTTCTGTTGCTATCCTTGCCCTGGGACCGTCTGAACCCAACAACCAGAATGGCTTCCTCACAGTGTAAGATCATGATTTCTCTGCTGAACATTCTCCAATGGCTTCCTGGTTTGCTGAGAAGAAAGGTCAAAGTCCTTGTACTCGTCTGTAATTTCCAGCGGGATGTGTCCCGCCTGATGACCTCTCCAATCTCCTCTCCTAACTCGGTCTCTCTCACTCCCCTGCAGTCAATGGTCTCCTTAGTCTTGTTCAGACAAGCTAGGCAGTGATGTCTCTTGGGATTTCTGCTCTAGCTTTTTCTCTATCTAGAAAGTTCAACCCACATATAGGCATGTGGCTCCTTTACTTCCTTCAAGTCTTTGTTCACATATCATCTTCTCTTTCAGGTCTACCCTGACCACTTTCTTCACTACTACAACCTCCCTCCCCCACTTTACCTCCTTAGGCCAGGTCTTAACATTCTTATTCTTTTTCTTAATTCCACACCGCTTACCAACTCCTCCCACTGTATAACTTACTTATATATACAACACGTCATTTACATGCACTCGGCTGGAAGTTCTACAAGGGAAGGCAACTTTGTCTTGTCCATTGACAAGTCCTAAGTGCCCTGAGTTAACTAGGCATATAGTAGGGGGTGAAGAAACATTTTCTAATAAGTAAATAAGTAAATAATTCATTCATGAGTGAACATCTAAGCCAACACCAAATCTTAAATGAATCCCAACAGTTTTCTTAAGGAATATTTCTAGTATCCATTCCTTCTGCTCCATGCCTGCTCCTATCTTAAAGACATGTTTTCCTTTCTTCCCACTGTTTTTGGAGGGAGTTCCTCAGAGGGTTACTGACCTTGCAAACCATCTCGTTTGCCCCTAGAAGCCCATTCCCCCTCGTGGGCATGCTCACGTCACACTCATGGCCACTGTGGGGTGGTCATCCCTTTTGCTGTGGACGGGCTGTTCACTGTCATTGACTCAGCCCTTGTCTTGGGGAGACGCCACACACAACGGAATTAAACGTTTCCTATCCCCGTGCTGTCTCCATGCTGGGCCTCTTTCAACAGACAAGCAAAGCCCATTGCCACAGAGTCAGTTCTGACTCAGAGAGAAGCCACAGGACAGAGTAGAACTTTCTGGAAGTAAATCTTTACGGAAGCAGACTGCTATCACTTTCTTTTGAGGAGTGACTGATGGGTTTGAACTGCTGACCTCTCAGTTAATAGCCAAGCACTTAACCACTGTGCTATCAGGTCTCTCTACCTGGGCTTTACTATTGACTCTGATCCATTCCTTCAGGCTACTTTTGCAGCCCACCTCTCGCTCCCTTTCCATTCCTACATCGTTACTTCATCCTGCCTGCCCTCAACCCTGCCAGCACACGGTAACCTCTACCCTTTGGCTCACAATGCATATTCCGACCCCCACTCCCTTTCTAAATATCCTCTCCCCGCTGACATGCTAGCTCACTTTCCATTTCCTGTGCAGTCTTTGCTGACCCTCCAGTTCCCCAGGATCTCTCCATACAGTCAAACCACGGAAGAGCGGGGGCCCTTCCATTCACATGACATGTAATCCTATTGTGACCTGTGTTCTTAGGGTATTTAGTTTACTGTACTTTTTACCCAACTTATGAACTCTTCTGTAAAATTCCAGTGAAGTCTGTCAACAAGGAGGATTTATTTTTGCATTGTGAGGCTGCCTGAGAGCTCTCCTCACTCCCTGGAAGAGTTGAGAGAGTGTCTTAAGCTCCTTTCTATTTTCTACGGACTCCCACACAGCGTCAGGTATGAACGACTCAGCACCCACACGGGGAGCATGGACTACCAGTGCTCCGACACTTCACAGCGGTAAACTATTAGTGGAATAAACCCAAATTTAAAACAAACCGTCAAATGGATGGCTTTCTCGTTGCAAGACCCCAGACTACGCTCCAGGTCATGGGCTCAGGGAAAGGGGGCTAGGTGTCAACGCGGACCATCAGAAGAACTGAAAATGGGGACGCACGGCCTGGCTGTCATCATTATCACTTGGCTCCCCACTGGGGCCGCCATTTGTCGACACCTAGTGATTGCTCGTGTCCGGGCTGGGCTTTTTCATGCGGAACTTCACTTGCTCTCACCTCCTTTGAAGGCTGGTACCGTGGAGATTCCCATTTCACTAATAGGGACCTTCCGCAGAGAGATCTACTAACACAGCCACGTTGTCGTTAGGAAATCATGGGTCTGGGATTCGGACCTGGGATGGCTTTGATGCCATAAACCTTGTTCTTTCTTTTGGGTCAGGCTGTTTCCGGGGGTCCCCACTCTATAGACGAGAGCAGCACGGGTGATGACCGACCCGAGCCAACATTTGTAGAGTTCACAAGCACTGTCAGCACGACGTACAGGGCAGCGTTGGAAAACAATGGCATTCGCCTTTTGCTAATGAGATTACTGAAATGCAAGGGTTGAGGTGGCCAAGTGTTGAAACGGAACTTGAATCTAGAAGGACAAGCTGGGCTCCCTACGTCTGCTTGGTGGATGCTCTGAAACCGGGCTCCCACCCCGGTCTTCTTCCCAAGAGCTCTAATCTAGTCACTCACTAGACCTCCAAGTCCTTTTCGGCTCAAGCATCGTGAAAGGGCTCTCGGGTCTGGGAGACCATGGCAGCCATCTGGGTGTCCGGAGTAAAGAGTCCAACTGCCTGCTGACCACAGTCTGAGAGCTGCTTAAGTGTCATCGTCTTGACAAGACCTGGCCCTGTCTGTTTAAATCATGGATGGCCAAGACGAATGTGCAAACAAGTGGCGCAAACACTCGGCCCCTTAAAATACAAGCAATTCCATTTTACGTGGGCGAGCAGCTCGCGGTTCACCTCTCTGCCAGCGATCAGAGGTTAGGAACAAAATATTAGATTCTGTTGCTGACCCAGGAAACCCGGGCAGCAAGCTGTCTTCCCAGCCTGCCTGCGTCTGCTCTGATAGAGCCAGCCATCGCTCACCATGACCCAGCGGCTGGGGAAACAGTTCCCGGCTGGATTACTAGTCTGCCAAGGGGCCGGCAGCCTTAGGAACCCTCTTTCCATGATCGACGCCATAATCACCTCGTTCCCCAAATGTGGCAAAGACCATCATCGAAATGTGAAAGTAGGGGAAAAGGATCAAAAACCTCATGCGTTATCAGCTCAGTGTCTTACGCATTCCCTGGGTTGTGCCTCTAAAATATTGCTTCCATTCACGCTGTCATAGCGCCACACAGCCCTGCCTTCTGAGATGGCCATTTCGAACGGCCCATTAGCTAAGAGATGCGAGAGGAAGGAGGGGCGAGAAGCCACCAGTGCCAACTCGTAATACTCAGGTATCACTCCACTGGGGAGAGGGGCCATTCCCAAACACTGACAGCTGCACAGGCCTCACCCCCCACCCAAGGAAGTTCTCCCAGAGTGCTCAAGGACACGCGAGAACCAGCACAGAGGAGGCCGGGTCCTCTCCCACGTGGCCGGAAAGCAAGCACGGAGGGAAGGTTTGCAGTGGGCTCAGGGCCCCTCGGGAGCCCCGGACAACTCAGGCCCTAGCCACAGCTCCAGGCAGGGCCCTTTACTGTCATGGTCCAAAGAGCAGAGAGCTGTCTTTTCCCTCTTCTCTAGCACAGGGGCACCCAACCCGCCTCTCCTAAGGGGTTAGACCGAGCGAGGGAGTCCGGAGCATTCACACCAGGCCACAGCAGAGCAGCATTCTCAGTTAGCAATCCACTCTCCCCCCAGGAGAAGGGCTCCCAGCCACTGGGGCCTCTAACCAGAAAATGCAGGGAGGGAACATTCCAGGGTGAAAATAAAAAAAAAAAAAATAATAAGGGGGTTGGGGCAGAGAGACAGAAAAATAGGGGGGGAATGCACAAAGTCCATTTGTGGCTGGCTGGTTACCCTGGGCTAGAATTAGGTTCTGAGTATCACATGGAAATCGAGCGTCTTGGCAAATCCCCAGGGTGAAATACGTGGAGGGAGAAAAGGCATTCTTATTTTTGGAAACAGGAAGTCCCCCCCCTCTTTTTTTTCCCCCACCACTGAGTCTCTCTCTCTCTTTTTTGGTTTGTTTCTAACCCAAATTTGAACCATCCACCATTTTCACCTGCATCTTTTCAGAGTCCAAAGAGCCCAAAAGACAGGGTCCCAAGAACCTCTCCCCATTCCAATTCCAAGGACCCCTTCTCTCCCGGGGTGACAGAGTGCTCAGAGCAGACATGCCACGCACAGCAAGTCGCCAAGACCAGACTGCGGGAAAGGGCTTCGGGGCTGGGGGTGGGGGCACTTACTTGTACTTGTGCTGGTTCCAATCGTATTGATCGTGGTGGGGACGGACGAGGAGGAGTAGAGGGGCACGTGGCCATTCTCACACCCCAGGCTTTTGTCCTGCCAGTTGGAGGTGTTGATGCAAATCCCAGCATCCCGAGAGTTCTGCCACCCGTTGAGCTTGTCGTCGGAGTTCTGTCTTTGGTGATAGTAGTGTGTCTGTCCATAATCCACAGAGTCTGAGCGGCCTCGGTTCTGGCCGCTGAAGCTGGTCGACGTGCGGTCCTCCAAGTGGTTCAGCCACATGGCTAGAGCGCTGCGGTCTTCCAACGAGGTGGCCGGGTGTATCAACGCATAGGACAGCAGTTGCCTACTCTCTTCGATGTGCTGGCTGTGTTCAATGGAGTGCGCCAGGATTTTGGGCAGCAGTTTCATATACTCTACTTTAGCGTCGAGGTTCCCTGGCTTCAGCAAAGGCAGGTGAGCTAAGAGGAGGGAAATCACTTTATCCTTGGATTCTTGTTGCCATTGGTTAATGATTCCTGAAAAGAAAAATATTCAGGGCAAATAAGCAAACAGAGCCACTCAGACACGAAGCCCCACGCTGCAGGGAGAATTCCCGTGGATTAGAGCCTCCATCTGGGTACCTGACTACCTTGTCTCAAAACAGGCTCTGGTTAGATAACTGACCGTGGTTGTCAAGAACAGCAACTCGCTTGAATGGAACACAGAGCACATCTTCTGAGGAGATTGGGTGCTCGATGTTTCACACGCACGTCTCCAAAGAGGTGATGGCTACTTTGGGTATGGCCCAAGAAAATGTACAGTCCCCCCCGCCCCCCAATATGCTTTCTTACAAGTCCAGCTACTTCCTCAGATAGACAGGGGGCTATGGAATAAGGGGAAATTCACAGAAAAGCAAGTATAACCAGAGGTCACCATCTCTGAGCCCGGCTGCCCCACTCCCCCGGCCCCCATCTGTGAAAAGTGGTTTAAACCTTAGCAGAGGCATTTGTGTGAAGTAACTTCACAGGGGAAGAAATATGCCAGGAAAAAAAAAAAGTACGTATAGTGGTCAGCCTACACCTTTCACCTGACACCCAAGGAAACACACAGGCTCCAGGCTAGAGTGAAAAATGGCTCTAAGATCAGGCCCCAGGGAGACCTCTGAGTGCACACGCCAAGCAAGCAGGCTATTTCTATGTGAAGATCTGTTTTTAACACACGCACCCGGTTCCCTTCCTGCTTCCTCCCACTCAAAGCCCAAGCTTGTTGCCTGAAGTAAACAGGGATAAACAATGCACTATGATTGATCAGCCTTTGGGGAGTAGTTGGTTCTACAGGCTGACAGTGCCAAAGTTGCGGTGAAGGAAAGCAAGCTCCCTTCCAGAAAAGTCATTCATGAAAACAGGAGTCCTCAGCTCTGTCCCACTGATAGTCTGACGGACCCTAGCACTGCATAGTCCCGCAGGCTTTTATGCAGCGTCTCCGGGGTTGAGAGGGTTCCTGACGTTTAGCCCAAAGGCTTCACAATTCTAGCTGGTAGAAGTTCAATGATCATTGCAGGACCATAGCTACAACCTCATCGGCCAGGAACTGCAAAGCCTCTCGAGACCAAAGGGCATGGTCAAAGAGGAGCATCAGCAAAGAAGGAATGGAAAGAACGTAGGCCTTGGAATCAGGCAGATTTGGGTACAAACCCCAGATCGACCACTTAATAATTTGTGGTGGAACAAATAATTTGTGGAATGATTTTGGTCAGTGATCTAACCTCTCCACATCTCAGCTGCCGCATCGATCAAGGGAGAGATCGGCTGCACCTGTCCCTCAGTGTCAAAGGACCAGTACGTGGCGGTGGACGCAGCTCCTTCTATTTGTCTTGAGTTAGTCAGGCCCCCACCAGAGCGATGTGCGTGGTTTGGGATGCCACGTTTAAAAAATAATATAGAGAATGAAACAGCCAGCAATGACCCTGAAGCACAGGCGGAAGGGGAAGGGGGAGGAAAACCCATTTACTAGAAATGAAACACCCGGACTGAAATTAATGGGAACGTTAACACATCGTCACAAAAAGTAACCGACATCGGCTGAACAATTTGTGTAGTAATTGTTAAAATGGGAGCCAAATTAGCTGTGCAAACCTTCACCAAAAATACAATAAAAATTATTTTAAAGTGACAGTATAGAGAAACTGGAGACGACCCACTGAAGTGCAGTGAAATGAAATTGCTTGGGATGGCTTTTCTATCCATAGTCATTGTAACTCCTCCAAATGACTGGGTGGGATCATGCAAATGGGATAGAGGACTCTAACTCGGGGATTGGTCAGTTTTGACATTCTGCTGGGTATAAAAGTGAGCCATCTCAGAAACAGGAAAAGGAATCCCACCACCATGAAGAAAGAAGAACCACTATTGGAACACAGGAAAAATACCTGCCTAAAGCGGTAGAAGCACCAGTGGCACCGGAGGCTGCAGCACTGAGACCATGAGACAGAGCAGAGGAGTGGCGTGGAGACCAAGAGACAGAAGGCAATGGGCTTCCTGAGAGAGATGTAAAAGGTCAGGTGCTGGGAGGCTGAGCGATGACTTACTGGCATGGTTGAGATGAAATACTGCTGTGGACACAAGGAGGGTATCGTTCTAATGTTTTCAGATCATGACACATGGGAACCCGTTAACTTTCCTAATAAAGCCCATAGCTCAGTATTTTTCTGTGAGTTCTGTGTAGCCACTGTGTGGATGATCAAACCCAGCGAAAAAGTAGGGTGCTATGGGAGGATCACTTGGTGTTACATTGCTTCTTCAATGAGGAAGTTGGCAGGTAGAGGGGTGTCAGAGCTCTGCCTTGAAGAGTCTCCTTGGGAAAATTGGAATTGGTTCCCCTTCTCCTTTGTGTAATCAGCAGGTCAGCCATGCCCCTCCTCCCAACCATGCCATCTCATTAAAATGATTACTGAACATGACCAAACAGTTGGAAACGAGCAATAGCCACAATATGAAAGAAAATAGGGTTATTGAACGTACACACAAAGTAATATGAAGAAGTGCTTGATTCCCTTTAAGTGGGGATCATGAGACGCAGGACCATCAACTATTTGAAGACCAAGTTGTCAAATTAAACAGGAGAGATTAAGATTGGATGCAGAGAAGAACGGAGTTATCAGAATGATTACATGCTCAGGAGTCATCAAGGAAGAGTCTGGAAACTCTTCTGGGGGCTTGAACAATAGGGCTAGATGGTTTAGAACATCGCTGTCCAAGCAAACTATTACATGAGCTACATCCCTGCAATCATACATTCTCTAGTTATTGAGGAGCTCATCTCAGGGACTAGCCATAGTTGAAGTTCTCAGACATCTCGCGTGACTGGTGTTCCTTAACTAGACAACACAGGGTTAGAGACGTTCGGATTGGGGAATGCAGGCTGGAGAGTCCAGATGGTCTTGCAGGTCCCACCCAGCTCCTGGGTCTATATTTAACTAATGCCACCCAACATAGGGCTACCCTGGTGGCTTCCCTTCAGTATTCTCCACCTTTTAAAACGCTCTGGGAGATGAAGAAAGCACTAATTCTAACTTCCTTGTCATAACATTGTCAGCAAATAAGAAGCCTATTTTAGAGTATTAATCTGCTTGCGATGGATATAAAGTGGATTCATCATGTCTAAGGAGGTAGAGAGGCCCTGGAAAGAGCCCAGAGGGGCCTGAAAGGAGGCCAAATCTGCTCAAACACCACCAACCACCTCCCCTGAAAAACACACATTTAAAAATAAAATTTGGAAAGAATATTTAATAAAGAATTTCAGGGCAGAGAAACTCCCTAGCTTTCTGCTAGGTCATTTCCCTGTTTGGATATCCTACACTTCCCCACAAAAGGTCAGCCAAAAAAAAAAAAATCAGCAACAAAAACAAATCATAAATAGGGCACAGGATGCAAAGTGAACACATTACCTCTCGATAGCTGCTCTCTGCCAGGGATTAACCTGGACTTCAGAAAAGTCAGAGAGAGGCCACTAACCCTGGTCCTTCCCAAGGCTGAATTGGTTTGTTTTCTGTCCTGAGATGGTTGTAACACGGTTAGGGAGACAATTTTGGCTTTTGTTTCATACCACAGGAGCATACATAGAAATAAGAGTCCCTCCTTTGGGCTAAATACCCCTACTGGATCAAACTATTCCTGGTCTGCGGTGTGTTCCTGCTGACGGCTAAGCTGCTAAATGTCTCCTTGCACCAGGCACGCCTCTCAGCTCTGTGCTTTTAACGACTCTTTCAACCTTCACGAGACTGATGAGGACCTGTGCTTACCAGACCAAACCAGACTCACTGCCACCAAGTAGACCGTGTCTCACAGCGGCCCTACGGATCAGGGTAGAACTGCCCCCGTGGGTTTCCGAGCTGGTCACTCTTCATAGGAGTAGAGAGCTGTCATTCTCCTGCAGAACCGCTGGCAGCTTCGAACTGCTGAGCTTGCTGTTAGCAGCCCAAGCACTAGGCACCATTTACAGATGAGGAAATACAAATACAGGGAGTTCAAGATCTCCTGGCTGGTGAGGTGGCAGAAAGGGGGGATGCGAGTTAGCTTCTATATATACACCACAGCAAAGATACACAGGTGAGCTTATCTACAACCTAAATATATTCCTAGAGTCTGTGGCTCAGCAGACGGGTGGGTCAAACGGAGCAAAGAAGGAAAGGAGTTAGGAGACTGTGTTGGCACCGCCTACTATGGTTTGGTTTGGGGGCTGTGTCCACAATTCCATTGACATTCCTCTGACATTGGGTTCCAAGATGGAACCAAGGGAGAGTTACTCGAGCAACTAGAATGTCGTGGTGTTGACTCCACGGTAAACGATGCCAGACAGTAGGTTTTGCAGTGTAATCCCACCTTACTTTTGCTTGGATGACTGGCTCTGAAGGAAGCCTGCTGCCATGATGTAAGGGCACGCAAGCAGTCCTATGGGGCCTTCTGTGTGACGAGGAACTGAGGCATAAGGGTGCCAACCCCCCCCCCCCCAACTTGCTAGCCATGTGAGCAACCCATCTGGGAAGCCAACCTCTCGGTCTTAGTTCAGACTTCAGGAGCCTACAGACCCCATCAGCATCGTGAGGAGCCCTGAGCCAGGACCCTCCAATTCCTGATCCATAGAAACTATGACACAATGTCCATTCTTGTTTTAAACCGCTAAGTTTTAGGCCATTTGGTATGTAGCCGATGAGAGCCAGTACGCTTATCCCACGGTCTGTCAGAGGGAAAGCGCATTGTAGTTCTTTGCCTTTGAGAAGTGCGGTCCTTCTGGACCATTCTGCAGTGAAGGCCCCAGACAATCCTGTCACCCCGAGCTGTTCACCTCGCTCAGCCTCCCTTATCCCGATTATCCGCTCCCCAAACAACTGCCAGGCTATGATTTGGCGCCCCAGGTCCCTGCAAGGAGAGAATGCCCGGATCGAACTGACTTAAGGTATTTCTAGATTCTGTGACAATGGTTTTTCGGGCAACTTAATAAATGGTTTCTGATTATGATTCGGCTGCCCGTGGAGGCC